CTCCATATACTGATAAGGAACTAAGGGTAACATATGCTGAAGCAACGAGCTCTTTAAGAAAAAAAAACTGCATTTTGATTAATAAAGACAATAACCAATTCAAGCTGATTAATTAATAACAGCTTACGTTCTGGTAGGAGATTCTGGATTGACTTTGCGCTTCTTCGTGGGAGTTTGGACAGTAGATTTCGGACGACCTTTTTTACTTGCCTTATGAAAATTAAATTTTAGTATTGGTTTGCATAAATAATTGTAATGCTGTAAAGTCATGATAACACAGTATCGAACCTTTTCGCTTCTAATTTGCGAAGATCCATGTGTTTTTTCTAGTTCTTTCAAGAACTCATTTGGAATATAATTTTTTTTCATTATCTACATAAAAATAAGATTGTATTAGAACGGATTTTGTGTCAAATACAAGCTATCCTTCAAGAAATCATTGTAATATAAACAATGCCCACCTCAGATGCCACCTCGGCATTAGGTATATTTTTGAATAACTCCGGAGGAAGTTGTGATTGACCAGGAAAAGAAGCTGATGACCATGAATGTGCTTTACACTTAGCTTGGATAAGATATTGGGTTAAATCGCTTAACGTATATATATTCTAGACAATTATTATATATAAGCCCATGAACGCTAAATATTTTATTACAACTAGAGTACTATTCATATGGATGTTATACCTCGCACTGATCCAGAGATTGAGCATCGCGAACTTGCTTTAGTCGTGTAGCAATGTGAAATAAAAATTGTATGTTTTCTCGATCGGCGATTGTGTCCAGGAAGAAGTTAATATATCTAGAAATACGAGATTATGGTAAGAATCATTTCAATTATTTCAACTACAATTAACACGAATCTCCTACACGGTGAATTCACGGAGGCCTGCAGGTTCACAGGAAAAGTCAGGGTGATGTGAAAGAAGATGGATTAACCGGACTAACGTCATATCAATAAGCATAGAATTATCACTGCCTAAAAAAGCGATCCAAATTAAAAGAGTATTAAATAATTAAAATGCCATGTTACTTGCACTTACGAATTGTTCTAGCAGTTTGTGAATATCTGATCAAGAACACTTTTACCTATCATAAGAACTGAGTTGGTTACATAATTTATGATTTTACTAATAAAAAGAAGTAAGTGCTTACCATATCTTTAATTTCTTTCATTGGATCATGTGCAATCAAAAAGAAAATGGATAAAAATCGTGCATGAAGTTGATATCCGCCACAATATTTTACAAGGCGAGATGCAAATGCCAAGCGAACTTGATAACATGGATCCTTCAGTTTTTATTGTTTATTTAGTTTTTTTTTTTTAATCAAGAAAAAATAAATATATTATAACGCAAAAAAAAAAGAAAAAGTCTGTACTTGTATCATTAAAGCCAGTTCTTGAAATTGCTCAACAGTTATCATTCCATCATAAATTTTCTTTTGAGTCAGCTTCAATATAGACCGCGCGGCAGCCAAGCGCAAGCGACTTTGAAAAGAGGGGCTTCATGATGGTGATAAATTAATGTTTATCGTAATACCAATATTTACAGTATAATAGTTACCTGGTAGATTTATCTGGAAGGATCTCGCCACCTCCACGGATCAACGTCCATAGCAATTTGAAAACCGGCATTGCAACATTGGCCGCTACCTCTGTTTCAGAAACAGCCACTGAACGGTTAACAAGGACTTTTAAGCCAAGCACCTATTTTAAAGTAGTATATAAATTCTTTATTATTTAGTCCCAAATAAATAATATAATTAAAAAGATAATTGGCAAAGCAGGTAATGTTAATAGTTTAGAAAAAATCTCTTTTCATCGTCATATACTATGTCATTGCCATTATTAAAATTCAAAACACATGTTTTCAACTGATGGCGTTAAATAAATACCTTTGCTTTACACTCATCGTCAAGCTCATCATCGTCAACCCAATCAACTTCGGATTCAATAGCCTGTTAAAAAACAATATTAATAAGCAAATGTTGTTTATATTGCGTCAATTTTCTGGTTAGAATTGAACCAATGAATCGTACAAACATACTTTATGATTTGATTTCATGATGAGTTGTTTAACAATGAAATTAGTTATAGCATCGCCCTTTTCTTCATATATTTTTGGAGAATAAAGTGCACATTGGCTTAGCACAGATAAATGGGCTAAAATGTTCGGAGACGTTATCGAAAGTTTTGGCACAATTTTCTGTAATGGGATGGGTCACGTGACATGCAAAAAATGTAACATTATCTTTGAATAAAATTATTTTGAATATGTAACAAAGCCTGATCCCTCACTTTTAATAACTCGCCACATATTTGTTGTTTGTGACGAATGTGGCTTAACACAATAGCAGCAAATTTAGCTTGGAGGCAAGACCCTTCAAGGGCATAATCCATAAGGCGTTGTATAGATTCCCTTTAAAAAAATTTATTAAAATGCATAATAAATTAAACGCCGTAATAACCTATTGTGGACCTTTACATACTTATCTTGCGGTGTTTCGTCGGGAAAAGCTATTGACAATTTAGAAAGAGCTTCCAAACTATCGTCAACTTTTTGAGATAGTAACGTTAATTAGAATCATCTCGACTATTCAAGGATTGTTAATGTAATCGTACCTATTAGCAAATCATCATCTTCCTTAAGCGCTCTTATTAATTGGTCAACGTGTGGTTTAAGAATTGCAGGAAATCTAGATGAAATATCCTATATGTTATGGAATCGAAACTCGTTGTTTATAGAATATCTGCTTCGCTAAAATTAGTATCATTAATATATTATTAGAACCAATACCTTAAACAACTCATGTGCAACAATAGAGTTTTCATTTTGTAATTCGGAGTGTGCCGATTTGAGCTTAGTCACAAGAAAAGGTATTAAATCCTTATTAATAATTGTCAAACTAATCCTACGAATAAGAATGGAAAATGTTTCCGATGATGATGGAGCAATCTGCTCGATACGTTTGAGAGCATCTTTCTAGTATAAAATTAATGAAATATTAAAAATCGATAAAATCTAAACGATTGCTAAATGTAAGAAAATAACTAACAGCAGATTGTCGAACGGTCTTATAATCTGATTGTGGATTCATGCAGTCTCTTATCA